TTACTGAGGATTAGGAATCCCTTGTTTACCAGACTAATCTTTTCTGTTTCTTGTTAATGCCAGAAAACCTTTGGATTTTTAAAGGATCCCCTTCTGCAGGGTACTGCTGACTTTAATCTTTTTATAACCTTAATTTCTCTTATGTCTTTCATTCAGACAGCATCCCAAAATCCTTAGTGTTGGAAAAATCTCAGTAGCTTCAAAAGCAGATCCCGTAATGCTTTTATAAATCTTAAGAAGTTTTATGAAGTTGTTGTATTTTTAGTGAGGATCTGACAGATACTGCTATTGAGGTTTGATTTTATACCTGGTAAATCCCCTAGGCTCTCATAACATAAATACATGTGGCCAATGCCACAAGATTTGAAAAGGCTTGAAACAGAATTGTTTATTATTCCTAGTCTGATCCAATCCCTGCAGTGTTTTCCTCAGTTCTTTAATATCCCAGTAGCTCTTCAGTTCATCTAAACAGACACTTCCCACCTCTCAGTCCTTTCAGATAAGAGATAATCTCTTGGATCTAGGCACAGTCATCCTTTGGGACACTACTGTTTATTCCTGTTAAATCGTCATGGAAAGACAGAATTATTCTTGCAAAGAAGAGGAAAATATTCTGATTTTCAAAGATGTCAACAGAATTCACCTCTTTAGGTAGAAGGCTGGATAAACCTGATGGATTTTAGGCAGGTGAGTTCAGGTTCATTGAATGTGGTCTGCTCTGCTCCAGACTTACCAGAAAGTTCAGCCCAGTTTTATAGTATTTATAGTATTATATTTAATCTACTCCCTGACACAGCCATAATGCTGGAAGCACTGAGACTCAAATTGCTGAATCTTAACATTAAATTAGCTACTACAAAGTTCTCAAACTGTGCTCTTGTGACTGGTGACTCAGAGATCTTCTCAGCGAGTCTGAAGAATAAATGAATGTTTTTCCATTTGAACAGTTGTGAGGAAGGAGTCCCTGGGGAGGCTGTTCCAGAGGAGCTCCTGCACTCACCTGCTCCCTCGGAGGGGACCTTTACACCAGCACTGTGTTGGCCAGGGGCTGCACCACTGCCAGCACTCACTGGGGTAACAAACACTCTGTTCCCTCTAAAGCAGTGACAAACCACTGCAGTGTGAGCAGAGACCTGGTGGATCCAGGAATTTTGTCGGGATCATTTGGCTGCTCCCGGTGGGTGAGCTCCCCGGGCTGTCACAGCTGGCTGTGGTGGTGGCACACCGTGATGCCAGGCAGCAGTTTGCCTTCCCATTTCCTCTTTCCTGTCTGGCCCTGCTTTTCTTTGCCTTGTGTGCTCCTTCCTAAGCAGAAATGCCTTTACTGAGCATTACAAGTCATCGTGTGACTATCACAGAGAGACACCCAAGATGCCAACAGAGATTCATATTCTATACAATCTGTGTTTCCGTATTATTTCACTGTTATGTATAAACCAAACATCCCTTTGTGGCCACACATGAGGCACATGCTTCAGACTAAAACAACAATTTGGAGTTGAAAACCAGCATTTTTAAGGAAAGGGATTTGTAATGTGATTTAATTGATTTATGTAATTGAAAACCAAAACAAAACACCACTGTTATGTACTATAAATGACTCCTTTGTCTTCTACAAAATTTAACTTGTTTACATGCCCTGCAGCCATCCTGAGAGAATAGAATAAATGGCAACTCCTCTTTGGGCCTATTTGAACAAAGAATCAGGAAAGGGAGGATGAGAGTGGCCAGAGGCTTATGAGAAGGAAGAGATGAGTGCTCAGATAAAAAGCAGCCCAAGGGAAGATTACAAGTTCTCAGAAAAACAGATCAATAATGACATTAACTTGCAGCTGCAAATGCAACTATTTGCATTTTGAAAACAATTTTCCCAACTACTTCACTGTGCCCAGGGTATCCAGAATACTCTCTGCAACAGATAAAACTCCTTTGAAAGGACAGTACTTTAATGGAAAGTTAAGATCCTGAGGAAGCCACTGTATTTTTCAGTATAGGACTGGAGAGCCAAGTTCACCTTCCCCTCCTACTGCTCACTAGGGTGGAAGGATCTGAGACTGCTCCAATTTACAAGTGACTCCCAAACAACTTGCCACTGATTTTGTCTCCTCCCTTTTCCCTCTCTAGACTTTTCACCCTGTGGTTCCCCTGGGAAAACCATGACGAATTTCCACGTGGAAATTTCAGTCCCAGTGTTAGGTAGTCTCTTTTTGTTGTTGTTGATGGCCTTTCCTCTCTGCCCTCTTTCTCTTCACCACATTGAGACTCTTGACAAGGTCAAACAATTCATCTTTGTTTCTATATTTATATTTGGGAAGCTCCCTCTAGTAGCACGACATTTCAGCTGGGACAGCTTTACAAAAACAGTAGGTAAGGCAGCTGATGGTACAGAGACCTGGCCTGGGAAAATAAAATGTGTTTTTGGAGAAATGAGAACATCCCAAGTGTTCATACAAAATGAGCACCACCACCTACACTAGGATCTGATCCCAGAATAAATAGTACTTAATGGCTGCCCAAAATAAAAGCAGTCCTGGCTAGGACAAGGTATTGGTGGGATCATTTAGAAGATGAGTGAAACACAGACACAAAGAAGTGAAACCTGAATGCATCCTGTCTAGATGATAATATAGTTGTGAGAATTGAGAGAATTTAGCAAGGAAGTCCTGAAAGAGAGGGAATTGCAGGAAACTAAAAAGAAAAATGGAGATGATGGGGTAAAAAATGCTTATTAAGTATTTGAAAACAAGTACAAAAAATAGGAAAGAGAAAAGTACATGTGCCAGCACAAGAAAGGGAGAGAGAATGGAATAGCAATGGTGACAGACAGAGGGAAAGCAAAGTTAAATCAAGCAGTGGCTTCTCTGAGCTCAGCCCGAGTGTGGCTGCTCTGTGCACCAAGGGTTTGCTTTTGGAATGATGTGATTCAATGCCTGTGGTGTGACACTGCCCCAAGGAAGACAGATATGCATGTGAATTAAAGCTACACAAAGGTGCTTGCTATGTCAGCTTAAGTCTATCACCTCCAATTCTTGACTCTTCCTCTGAAATTGCACCTCCCAAATTATGATTTTATATTGATTTCCACAGCAAATTTAGAAGTGCACATGATGACTGTGTGAGCAGTCTGGGGATCCCAATTTCACACACTCAGGCCATAGAGTTTCTTTTCATGAAGAGCTTTGGGAGGAGTTTTAAAAGTTGCTTTTGAAAAATCTTGTCTTTCACAGGCTGTTTCAAAAGACTGTGGGAAGGGTGGCTAAAGCAATTCTGGGTATAATTTATAGTCATCTAAGTCTGCTTTAATCTGCTTCCTTGGGAGCAGCTCTCTACTGGCTAAGTAGAGAGTGGGTTCCCTGGTGCCTGGGATTCCATAAGGCATGGAGCATTTCCAGACATTCTTACTGCTGTCTAAGCCCCCAAAACCTTCTTGTCCCTATAACCCACAATTCAAACAGCAGCAATCCCTGCCAAGGGGGTGAATGCTGGGGATGGAGGGAGCTGTGCAAGCTGTGCCTCCTTCTCAGGGACCTCTCCCCGAGCAACAGTGCCGTGTCCTGGATCACGTCCTTCCACAGGGACAGTACAAACGGGCTGGAGCTGATCTTGGACAAATTTCTTCTCTTGTTCCTCCAGGGGACATGCACATGGGGTCAGTTGGGGTTTTTTTTCACTGTGAAATTGCCAACTCCCCCATGCAGTGACACACAGAGCCACAGCTTCAAAGAACATCTTTTCACTTTCCTTTCCTGCCTTGCCTTTCTGGCACAAGGAGAAATCCTTGCCTGTAAAATGTTGTTAGGCTTCAAGAGTGAATTGTCTGAAACTGGTTTTCCTTATTTATTTGAATTCTTACAGCAACTGCCCTCCAAATGCTGCCCAGGTAGTAAAACTGTAATAATATCAGCTCAAGCCATTTCTTTGCTTTGGCATTCGTAAAGTGGATCCTAGTAAGTCAGGAACATAAGAAGTTATTCAGTGTCAGGAAAACCTCAGGAATATGTACAACAAAATAACCTTCAGATTAGAATCATGTTTTTCATCTGATTGTCAATTTGAGGGATTTCTCCCATGCACGACCAAGGGTCATTAAAATCTCCTTCCCTCTTGTCTCCATTGTGGAGATTCATTTGAAAATACCTTGACGACTCCTATCCACAAAACTTCCTTATCTAACTGTATATGAATCACTTTGAAAGGAGCCACATTTCTCTTAGCAACCAAAGAATCAGTCTTAGCAACAAGACAGCTGGAGAATTTTGTGTTCACATAGTTACTCGTGGACAGTACGTTCTGTTTTCCCCTGGCATTGCTGTTTCAGTGTTGACTTAGTAAAGGGTAAGAAATGGTACAAATCAGGCTCTTGCTCACAGCAAAGACATCACTTGCAGGGCAGATGATGATCTCTCTACCTTTGATGCTGTTTTTGAGGATCCAGTGCAAGAGCACTGACTGGAAAGTTGAGAATTTAAATTTTTGCTGTGACAGAATTACTACAAAGAAATATGTGAGGGAGCTGCCAGTTCCCAAAATCTTGACTTCCCCCCACAGAAACCACAGTGGAGAATCAAAGCATGAGTTCTAAAGGCTCACACTGGAGCCTCTCTCAGCATCTGTTCACGCTGAGAGCAGTTGGAAAGGCTGGATAGAAGGTGACTTTGTTATATATATATATATATTTCCTATATTTTCTTTGCAAGGATAATTTGGGGATAAATATTATAGTGGGAGAAACTGGGAACATCAGAGCAATTGCCATGTTGGTTATTACCTGGGCTCATGATTTACAGGAGTGTTGGGGAAGCTTCCCTGAGGAAACAATGCTAAGATGACATTTAAGAACAGGGCAGTGTTGAAGTATTTTCCATTTCTCAATCCCACATCAGTGTAAGGAAGTGAGTTACCATCTGTACTTTGATCCTATTGAGTAATTCCAAGTGCAGGTACAACAGTCAGTGCACTCAGCCCTCACCCACCTTCCTTCCCTGTCTCCTCCCAGGGGCTGCTGGTGTCCTGCAGGCTGGTTTGATTCCCCCCCTGGTGCTGAAATTGCAGACTGAGCTGGATGAGATCCTGGAGCTCATCCTGGGCACCCTCTCCAACTGTCTGCGCATGGAGGTTTCGGAAGCCCTGGCAACTGGTGCCATTGCTGCCCTGAAGGAAAAGCTCACACACCCCTCAGCAGCCATCAGAAGCAAAGCAGCTCAGGTCCTGTTAGAAATCAGGTAAAGGAAAACAAACCTGTCCATAATGCCAAAGCCTAAGAAAGTCCTCATTTCAGGGGTAAATCCATGCCATTAGTTTACATTGTGTTCCACTGCACATCGAAGCTGCCACATTTCACACATAAAGCACTATCAGCCTGAATGCACCCATAGATAGAAGGCTTCTAAATATCCTAACTGCTATAAATCACTCAAAAAAGCAGATGCTGATCAGTCATTCCTTCTCCTTCTGTTTGTTTTCAGTATTGGCAGTGGAATCAGGATTTTTTTCCTGGTACAGCACTGCTGAGAAAAAAATCTTGCATGAAAAATCTTGTAAAACCAGGATTCTGACCACTGTGGAGGTAGAGAGAAGCTCCCTTGCGTTTTTGGGCAACACTCTCAGAAAACTGAAGGCCCTGGTAAACTCTCACTGTGATTGAGGACAGAAATAGTTTTCTGACACAGGCTGCTGTGCACGTCAGGGATGGATCAGAAAAAGCAATCTTTATATTAAATTTGGGTATCAGAGAGTGGATGAAAGGAACAACTTAAGTCCACTGCAACCAGAAAATGTAATAAAGGTGTTCAACAGATATCTAGTTTAAAGAGGCCTGCAGATGATGTAGTTTATATATCAACTGGTACAAAACATTTGCTCATGTCCTGTAACAATGCGAGGTCTTAGAGGAAAAGAGACTGTAATTATCATGAGTCAGAGAAAGAAAGTCAAATGCACCTGGAGTATGGATATCAACTACATTCTAGGGCCCTGCAGGAGCTGGGCCACATTAAATGCTCCCCTTATTAAAGAGGCTGGAAACAAAGGGAGAAAACTGACCTGGGAGAAAAATGAATTGCAGACCCCTGATTTATCAGGTTTTAAAATCTGTATAAGGTTCAACAGCCAGGTTTCTAACTCACTGCCATTGGGACCACCAGCATCCTTAACCTTACATCCTGTTCCATGCTGCTGCCCATCAGTCTCCAGTGTTCATAAAGAGTTTAAAAATAATCCAAATATCACCCAAAAATAACCTAAAAAATAGTGAAGTCCATGCACCTGGGTTACTGTGGTATCATCAGGGCTGTACCACATGTAGGTTCAACAGCCACCAGGCACAAACACACACCCCTTTAGTTCCCAGCTGGAACAATCACTCCAAAGGGAGCAAACAGCAGTGTGCAGTGCTGGTGGCACAAACAGGCTGAGGTGGCTGCATGGTCTGCAGGCACAGTTCAAAAAAGCAACTTAACCATCTTTTCTGCACAGTTCTCATCCAGAGGGAAAACTTCCAGTGTGTGAAGAAGAGGTTATCCCTGTGCTTGTGAGCCTGCTGGGAGACACAGATCCTGCAGTCCAAGCTAGTGCAACAGGAGCACTGATGTTTGCTCTTGTCACTCCTCAGGGTGAGAGTCAGTTCTGCTGGGAAACCTTCTGGAAATCCAATTCTAAGGAAACTCAGTAACAAAACATTTGCCTCTCCTACCCCTCAGTCCTTGGTTCCTGACAGTGTTAAAGCTCCTCAAGAAACAGTAAGATCAGGACATTTCTTCATATGTCTTGAACAACTACTGTTACTTCCCCACAGTGCCATGAGGGAACAGGATATTTCACATTTCGTTCCCTTGAAGTAGGTCGAGAAGTGATTTATCTCCCCCGCCTGCACCATTTCCCTCCAGAGTGCTGCTCCAGAGAGGGAACATTTCCCATTCAAGTCCAGACCACACAGACCCACATACCTGGAGCTGTGCTGAATCACCAGCACTCGGCACAGGAGCGCTGCTTTCTGGAAACATTTTGTGGTTCCAGGCAGCTTCTCTCTCACAGCTGGGAGAGCAATGAATATTAATAAGGTCTGCAGCTCTCCCAAGTAACTTACATGACACTGAAAATACTAACTGCTAAATTCTCACTGTGATGAATGAGTAATTAGACATAAAAGACTCTTAATAACAGCAGTTGTGTTCCAGTCCTCCTCTGCAACCCTTCCTCTGGCTACCCGAGACAACGCGGGAATGGATTTCAGTGTTTGAAGTGTCTTTAAAAATGCAAGAATGGGGCACGTTCTTAAGGGCATCTAACACACCCCACTCACCCCCCCCTCCAAAAAATAGTTTATTCTATCATTTGATGCCTCATATATTCGTGGATAATTAGTCGCAAATGAAATCCTAATGTGCAAGGCAGATAAAGTTAACTGGGAAAGATCTTTTTTCTTAAATATAACCAGCTGGGAGCCAGCCTTGGTCTCCAGAAGAAGGGCATGTCCTGCCCCTGTGCACTGCACCCCGGGGCTGTTCAGAGCTGTAGGGGGGCAGGGAGTGCCAAGTGTCAGTCCAAAAGGATGCTGATTAGATGTCATAACCAAAGCCGGTTTCTTTCTCTGCAGGGAGAGCCTCAGCCATGGCAGCTGCAGCCATCCCACCTCTGCTGAAGTTGGTTGCTGAGGAAACCAGCACAGCCCGTCTGAACGCCATCAAAGCCCTCACGCTGCTGGCTGAGCTCCCCGAGGGCCGAGAGACGCTCCTGGATCACACGGACACATTTCAGGAGTGTCTGGATGACCCCCGGGAGGTCGTGAAAAGAGCTGCCCAAACCGCCATCCGAGCCATCGAGTGGAAACCTTTCTGCAGCCGCGATCTTTTCTAGAGATCTGTTGCCCTCTGTTGTTGTCTGGCTGTAAGAGGTGCTCGATTATATGAGACCTTCAGAACCAAAACTCTTTTCCTCACTTACTCCTGAGCAGTTCCCTCTGAAAAGTCATTTGCCAACAGATTCACATCTATATTGCAGGTCAGAAAGCAGAATAATGGGGAAAAAGAAAAGTTAGGAAGTCTGGAATTCTCCACTAGGGGTTATTGCCTGAGTTACCAAGATTTTCCTGATATAAGAAACCAGCCCTGTTTTCTTCATAATGTTCTCTACTTCTTTTTCTTTTTTTTGAAACCTCAGCCTATCAACCATTAATCAATAACTAATTACATTAGAGGGGTTCCTAATTAACCCCTCCAGCAGTCTTGCCTGTGCTGAGGAATTGATCTGACACAGGAATTTACATGAGTTTTGTATCAAATATTTGTTGAACGTGAGATTAGAACCATTTAGAGCATCAAGCCAGAAAAAGCAAAGGCAATGTCATGGAAGGGCTTCCCTGAGAGAATCAGGAGAAAGGCTTCACTGGGGTAGCCCTTGGTAAAGCTGTGCTGGGGCCACAGCCCAGTGCCTCTGACAGGAGGGGGGTCTGGCCCTAGCTGGCATTGGTTAGGGCATGGAACAAAAGCACCTCTGGGGTTGTGCTGGTAGTTGGCATTTTGTAGTTCTGTAGACCTGTAATCTGACCTTTGAGTACCCAAATTAACAAGTATAATGGAAAGGTGTTGTGCCAGAACTGGAGAGTTTTGCCATCGTGTCTCACTTTTCAGGGAGAAAGATGGGACAAGAGGAAAACTGATTTTACTGTTATGATCTAGTCCAACAGGACCTGGGCAAGATGATCTCCAAAGGTCCCTTCCAACCTCACATACTCTGTGATTAACAGCTGTCTAAACAGAGAGGTAAGGAGATAAACAAGACAGAACTGAAAATGTCCTACTTTGAAAAAAAGTGTTTCTTTGCATTTTTTTTTAAATTAACAGTTTTTTAAAAACCTTTTACTCCATAGAACTGAGGGTAGCATACAAAATTCATGCTGTTTGTGAAAGCAAGACCTGACTAACCAGACTTACATTGTCTGGAGGAAATAAGGTGGTAGTTCCTGTGGTTAGGTCTGAAGGGCAGTGGAATTAGTGGGAAGTTCAGTAGCATTTTATTCACTCTGAGTTCAAGGCCAGTCACTACAGATGTGGCACATTTCTGCCTCCAGTTGCAAGGGTGTAATGAAGAGGCATCAACAGGAGTCCTGGGCAAAGAAACAACCCAAGTGAGCAGAGCAAACCTGGCCATTCTCAACGACCAAGGAAGGTGAGACAGTGCAGCTGACTCTGCTTCACAGCAAGTCTCATTTGTTTTCACTCAGGGTTTGGTCTCACATGGTATTTTTACATCTAGAAGTTGCCACGTTGTAGCTACAAAGAGGCTGCACCAGGTCTCTAAAGGGGTTATTTGTCAGGGGTGCTGTTCCATTGGAAGCCACAGTCACAGAGCAAACTGCATTAGCCTTACAGAGGGTAAACTCCTCCTGTAGGAGTGATTACAGTTAAAATGGTTCTCCTCCATAGCCTAACCAAAGGGCAAATTTCCTCTCCTATAAAGATGTGATTTTAAAGTATTGAGTCAGTTGGATTCATTCCCTCTGGGCAGGATCTTGGAGGAACTCTGCCTTTTAAACACATAAGGCACTCATACGTAATACATATTGGTGCCAGAGTGCATCCAACTCAGTAAGAGAAGCCAGGCAGCTTAATCACATGCTAAAGGACTGGAGCAGCACAGTGGAGGCTCAGCTGCTCTTACAGAACTGCTGCAGGAGAATGCAGTAACAATCACCATTTTAGCTCAGTTCCAACCTCGTCACAGCCTTCCCCAGTCATTCAGGTATCACCCTTCAGTGAGTTCCCAAAATAATCACCTTTTTCAAATGTAGAAATAAGACCTCCACACTGAACTGCTCTCACTAGAAGAAATTCAGCTAACTTGGACCTTAAGTACTGCATTCCGAGCATGTGCCTGATCACTGCTTGAAAGACAATACAAACTGTTCCCAAAAAGGCTCTACTCGGGATCAATGTTCTTGTCTCACACACAGAAATGGAACTAAGCCTCAGTTGAACTCTTAGATACAGGCACTAGTGGTGCCCTCCCACATGTCAGCTGCTGTCTCAGCCACTCTTTGCACAGCTACACCTGACATGACTTGATACTTCAACCACAACAGGAATTCCCTGGGGCTTTAGAGACCATGCACTGCCTGTGGAAACACCAGAATGCAAAGTCTGCACATGGAACAGCCATAAACCACTACTAGTTGGGGTTTTCAGTTAAAAAGCTGTATTTACTGACAAAAGATTGCAGAGCCAATAATTCAAAGTCACGTGCTCTGGTGGGGCCCAGCCAGCAGCAGGTCACTGGCCAGAGCACAGCACAACAAATGCCAAGGGGAGCAGAGTTAAACAGCCTGTGTGAAGCAAAGGATGCACAGAGAGCACAGCTAATGTAGAAATAATCCTAATTATTGCAGAACACTTTTGTAATCTGTGGTGTTTCTAGAGCTGCACTGTCTTGGTGTCCCAAGATGTGCTGTCTCCCACTGGGTCACTGAGCAGGACTGGCCAGCACAGCCTGTCCCAGCCTGGGAGACGAGGGGACAGGGCACAGAGCAGGGAGACACTGATCCTGTAACCCTCACTATATGCAACCTGAATTAGGGTACATTTTTACTCTACAATATCTTTTTTCCAGGTACATTAAAATAACACACAACTGCTCCCACAGTAATATGCTGATTCCTAAATCTCTCTCCTAAAATTAGTTTCTCAGCCACAATTCAATATCTGAAATGTCCCTTCACATTCTTCATAAAGACCTTTGAGATCTCAAATGTACCTGAAAGTAGTCAAATAGGTAAAACTCCGAACTAAATGTCCCAGTGTGGTCTTTTTTATCCTGGGAAAGATCCTTTTGAATTGTTTTATACACATCACAAATACTTATATTAACCTCTCTGGATCTCACCCACTGTAATTAAACTCACTGTTTCAGAGGCAATGCTGTGTGGACAGCAGGTCTCTGGTGTCAGCAATGGTGACCCCCAGCACTCTCCACTCCCGTGGTTTCAGCACCGAGGCAAGTTTGTAACATCACTGAAAGGGATTTGTCTTTTTAGCTTGAAGCCAACAATGATGAAGGCCCTGATATAATTAATGTGGTCCTGGGTCAATACTGGAATTAATTCAGTTACACTTGACATGGATTGAGCTTTTCAAACAATTCTGCCCAACAATTCTCATCGACACCAGAAGACAATTCAGCTGCATCCACAGGACCGAAACCTTCCTGAGTGAGCCTTGTGTCCCACTCAGGTAGGGCTCATTTTGAATTTTTTCTAACAGCTTCCAGAAGGTTAAGGATGTTATGGTGCTTTGTTCTTGCAACCACGAACTCATTTCCCTGTCCCTGTTTCCTTTCACAAGGCCAAGGGTTGGAAACCATTCGGTCCTGCTCTGGAAAATGGCAGCTTTTCATTCCATCCCTTCATGTTCCAGAGCAAGGAGTAATTTGATTCCCATCACTACATTTTCTATTAAAAAAGAAATAAATCATAGATGGAGAGATCTGTCTAAGGACAAAATAGTCTGGGAAAGTCAGATTTGGCTAATTACATTAAACCAAAAGGGCAGAGTGTCTTCTCTGTGGCTACACACAAAGCTAACATGCTCAAAGCACAGAACCTATTTTTAGCAAGACAAAATTTGCAATTTGAATGAATAAAACCCATTTTAATAATTTGTTATAAAGATATTTTGCATCTAAGCCACATTTTTAAAGTTATAGGCTCTGATACCGTAAATAACAAAACTGCACAGAGCGGCCACGAGCTCACACTGCCCTCAGCCTGAGGCACCTCAGGCCCCTTGGTGCTGCTCCAGGCAGGCACAGGGCTCTGGCCTCAGGCACTGCCAGGTGAGCACAGGGTGGGCACAGCAGCTCCAGGGAATTATTCTTTTTCACAGCTGCCCATGGTAGGTGACAAGATGAGCAGTCAGGGTTTTTTGCATTTCCCCTCTTTCTCAGTGGTGTATTGCCCTCTTAGCAGATCTGGGCCCCTGGATTTTCAGCCCAGCACAAGGGCAGCTCTCTGTGATCACTGCTCCCTTCCTTGCTCCCCAGAGAACTGCAGGAGCAGGACACAGACACCTGCAGCTGGGACATGAGGTCATTAAATAAATTAAAACCCCCACAGCCCTGCTGTGACCCCACAGCCTGGCACCAGCCTTTTCCTGTGCAGCCTAACCCCAGGAATGTCAGCTTGAAACCCTCCTCTGGCTCAACACTTCAAACAACTCAAGTGCTCTTCAAACACAGTGACCAGGGCTCCAGAGCTCTCCTCCCAGATGCCAGTCCCCCCTGGTAACACATGGATTTATCATTTACCTTTGCTCCTTGGTTTTGGGTCGGCTTTTCCTTCACCCAAACACTCCTGGGTTTGCCAGCTTAGGAAGTGCAGTGAGGATGGAGGCCATCAGCAATCCTGGCTGCAGCTGGGGCTCTGATCAGCAGCATCACCTGCAGAGCTCAGCCTCGTGCCATGTCCCAGCTCCCCAGGGACAGATCCTTCAGTTAAAACCAGACCATGGTTACTGCAGAGGTATTCCCAGCTAAGGCACAGACCTTCCCTCCCCCAGCATTTCAGTAATAAAGAGGAATAAACCCAAATTCTGAGTTCCAAGAACAGAGTGTTCTCATGATCATTAACACTAAACATTTGTGAGATACTTGGATACATTTTTATGACAGAAAAATTAAAACATAAATGAACAGTGATTACCCTTTTCCAGGACTCGGCCTAAGAACTACGTAGTAATTCTTAAATGGAAGATATTGTTTAGTGTGTGTTCTTTCAAGAGCAGTGTCCTAACTGGCTGACAGTGCTACCAGGGGAATTTTTTGTTTTATTTTGTGTAGTTCATTTTAAATAATTCTGTATATCTAACTAAAGTCCTCCAAAATAAGCTGTAACCCTGTATCCTACCTGACAGGATAAGCTGGGATGTCTCAAGATCCCCTGAGGCAGAGCTGTGTAATGCTGTACATGCCATCCAGGTACTTTGTGCTGTTGAGCCAGAGGTTTATTTGGAGTCTCACCACTGCCCAGAAGTATTTGAAATGTACAGTCAAATGTGGGGGACAACTCTGTGCTCAGGGTTCCCACCCCTAGAGCATGAGAATGCCCAGGACAGCCTCAGCTACTCCTGGGTTTAGTCTGAGTGTCCCAACCACAGCTGGGACGTGGACAGAGCTGCCCTGAGAACTGAAGAAAAGCCACTTTCTTCCTCAAAGTCACGAAACTGTCTTTGAATGCAACAGCTACAGACCTGAGGGGGCATTTCATGCTAAGCTGAACATGAAAATTTTATCAGCTGTTCACAATATCAGGCAATTTTTCTATGGAATTCTACAAAATGAGAGGAGTCAGCAGCAGCTGTCAAACTTTATGGAAACATTTGAACTCTTCCTTCTACAACATCCAGTTTTCAGACTGGAATGAAATCAGGTTGCTGAGGACATACAGGGGACATTGCTGGGAAACTGTAGGTTAGATTTTCAAGATTCTGTAGTCCTGGGAATGAAAACGAAGTGGTGGTGCCTGATTAACCAGGAGGTCATCCAAAGGCTGCTCAGCATGCCAGGAAATCACTTGTGTTATTTGTCTTTATCCAAATAGCTCTATAATTTCACCATTTTTTTTCTTTTTGTAGCAAAGGATGACAAGGAGGGATCTGGGCAATCCTCAGTGAAGTCCTCCTTGTTTGTTTTTCATCCATTACTATTACCCAGAGCCAAAATCTAGACACCAAATGAAGTCTCTCTGTCTTCCATCATATCATATAAAAATCCCATCACTTTGTGGACACCAAACACTTAAA